AATGCTATTTGTGGATGTTCCCATTATGTCATATCTGGGAGTTCTGAAAGCTATTTATATGATTTGATTTTAAATTACCATCATAATTATAAAATTCCTTGTCCATTGTGTTTATGAAGTTCTTGGTGGATTTGTCTGTAGTTTTTGGTAGTAGTAAGGCACAATAATATTAGTGTAAGTGCCAGGTGCTACCAAAAAGAATGAGAACATCTTAAATTCTCATAAATATATGCTAAAATAATAGGTAACTTATGATATCAAAGCCATGCTTCAAACTTTGTTCATTAATGTCTTAAACTTTGAAAAAAACTTCTTTCTCAGACAACTTTGTAGCAGTTCTTACTGTCTGATGTGGAGACATAAACATGGTACTTTCCATGAGATTCCTATCCAAATTACCAATATATATATATCCTAAGGTAATTATCAAATACTTGTCCAAATAACTTATAATGTAATTAGGTCAGGAAATAATTATTTCAATATACATATAAATATATTTCACTAAGAAGCTGTTAGAAGAGTAGCTCATAAGGTTGTTAAATCACTTTACAGACTTTATAAATGCACTGATAACACATGAATTTATCAAAATATTTGTGGATTGGAAGAAAGGTAATTTTAAATGTTTGACATTAATGAATGGAATATGATGGATTACTTTGCATGAAAATTATTTTAGAGGGGGACCATCCAAAGAACACCAATCATATCAGACTTGAACACAAAACTGCCTCTACATCATAATTAAACAAGACAGCAACATAAGAATGTTAATTCTTGTTAAAACAAGTTGGAATACAAATTATTAGGTATCTTTGTACTAAGTATTGAAAGCTGGAATAATATTTTGCTATTTTTGTAAAACACTCTGCAAGTAATATGTGTAGTGCCCCATACTTTTCTGTTGTGCACATGTGATCACTGGTAATGGTGCGTGTCTGCTTGCAGTATCCTTATGTATAATTGTACATTCATACTTGTGTGTGTGTGTGTGTGTGTGTGTGTGTGTGTGTTAGTACACAGCTGCCCAGCATACAACATCCTCCTGTGTTGCTTTTTTTCTCAAAGATTAATCTGCTTCTGCCTGAGTTGTATAGGATCAGAGGTATCTAAACTCGAAATGGGTTCAAATATGAGAAAGGGAGATTGTCTTCCCCCAAATATATGTTTTTAATGGCCATATAATCATGTAATAAAATGTGTAAGACAAGCTAAATGAAACTGATGCCTTGGGTGTCTTGATAATCGCATGCAAGGTGAAATAACACCAGAATTCCTGTTTGTGTAGTAAATAACTTGATCTTTAATAGTCTCGTCTGTTTTTGAAAATGAATTTTATTTAAATTTCAGTTTCACTTTCAGCTTGATCGTTAGGAAACTCGTAATATTGAAAGGAGAGGTATTTATTATTATTGGTTATAACAAAATAAACTGTCAGATTCTCATATCTTTTGTTTGTCTGTGGGCCTTAAGTGATCTGTAAGCTATGTGTGAAATTTGGTGTACAGCTGTAAATGAAAACTAGGGTCAGACAAATAATGTTATGCAAATTAAATGAACTGTTTTTTCACTTTGTTCAAAGCTTTGAAAGTACATTCATACTTAATGGTCCATGGACACACAAAACATAAGCACTAAAATAATAAGAATATTTATTAAAATCAACAAATTACAAATTAGTTCCCTGTAGTCACTTTTACCTCAGTGATTATGAAAATAAGACCATGAAGTATGTATTTTCATGTATGATTCTGCCTTGAAACTTGCTGGAACTGATTCCAAATAAGGAGGATTGTAGATTTTAAATGTTAATAGAGAGGAATAGCACTATACGACAGGTGATACGTTTGGTTGCATGTTTTATCCAGTGTTAGCCTGCAGAATGAATTAAATTTAAACTTCTGGTGTGATTGTGCATGTGAGACTTCAAATTTTAGCTTTCTGTATCAAGAATAATATTGTATTATAGGTGAAATGTTCATTTTTATGGAGGCTGTAAGGAGCATCTTCTTGAGTTCCACATATTAGAATCTAAAGATGTGAGATGCTGGAATAGAAACTGTTTACCACTAGAATATCTATAACTATATCTAGTGCAAGTAGATACCAAAGATGGCTGCACATTTCCTTGGTGCTTATTTTTGTAAAACTGATATAATGGAAATAAATTCTTATTTTAAGTACCTGATGTATAACATAATTCTGAATAGTGAGGTATTACTGTAAACACCAGTACCAATTTTGCTAACCTCTCCATGTAATTTAATGTACTGTATAACATTACCAGTTCATATTGTCTAATAATTTTGTAATATTATTTAAATGCAACTATAAACAGAGATTTTATTGACTGTACATAGAATCTGTAAAGTAGGTATGTAAGGATGCACCAGGTGCAAACAGATTTAAGGAGAATATTAATGTATGTTGTTTTTGATTCTTGATGTTTCATGTTTTCAGAATGTTGGATATTTTGTGAAACTTATTTTAGTTGTTTTACTACATTCCATACCATACTATAAGTTCAGGGATGATCATATTGTGCATATTACTGTCTTGTAAACAGGCACAAATGTATAGTTTTGTGATTTTATTGTTATCGTACATAAATTATTGTTCTATGAGCTCAATAAATGTACAAATGCATAGTTTTGAATGTTTTATCTTCCATAAGTTTCTTCCAATTCCAGAAACAAAAATCATTGCAGATAAGAAAATGAAATTACTGTAGAGAAAATAGTCATGATTCAAAGCACAGACATTTCTACAATATAGTAAACAACAATCATAATTTGAGAGGTATGCACATTCTGACATATATTCATGGTGCCACGTTTGTACTTTAAAAGAGATCAAAACTGCTTCACCCCAACTTCTCACTCCTACCACATGCTAACTGAAAGGTGTTTAGTAACATCCAGATCCAATTGTGTGGCAAACTATGCTGGGAAACTGCACAGTTTTTTGCATTAAAGTTGTGTTAATTTTGTAGTGTTAAAAGGTTTTAGAAATACTAGAGTTTAAAAATAATTTTTCAGCAATCATTTTGCAAAAGGACTAATTTACATACAATATTATAATTAGTAGTAGTAATAATAGAATGCAGTTTATATAATTCATGCTTCAAATAGCTTTGAATTTAATACAAATATTAACCTTTGTAATCCTTGTGTCGTGGTTTATACTGCAGTCCATCTGGCCCCGCATCACATTTGCATGCTGATAAATCATAAATTCCAGAGTTTAAGTCCAGCCAGCAGCCCCATAATACATAGGAGGGTTTGAATTTCCTATTCCCATGCGATACAGATTAAAGAACTGACTTACATGATTTTGAAATGCCACTGACATTTTTGGATCTTTGAATTTCTAGTAACACATCTTATGGGAATCTGTACTCTTTAAGGACATATAATATGTGCAATAACCATGAAGCTGAAAGTTTGCATGCCTGCTGTAATGTTTTCTGTGTTTATAGTCACAAAAGGCCTTATAACCAAAGATGTATCAGCCATAGGTATCATTCCTGGGATACATTATTCAAGACCAAAAAAGTCAGGATTTTTTCCCCCCAAGTTTTTCAATATGACTAAGGGGTTAAGGTAATGGGGAGAGGTAGTACCTTTCACCATCATAGTCTGACTATGCTGGACACTGGTCCTCACCCACCCAGGAGTAAGTGAAGCGCAATACAGATGCTAGGCATCCAAGAGCCTCTCCTTGCTCAAGACCGTCCGTGTGTGGTGAAGAGCCACATCCGACTATTATTATTATTATTGTTATTATTATCATCATATCATATGCCTTAGCCATTATCTCTGGCAGTTTACTCTGATATTGCAGCCACCCACACTTCCTTCCTTATATAGGAACCTGAAGAACATTACCATATTAAAAATATTTCGCCATTGGTCCCAATTCTGAGCTACGTGAATATAGACTATACCGTTACACCCTAATTCTCTTAAAATCCGTTTTTGGTAATTTCTCCCATCAATGCCGAGGTATTACAAGCAATCTCTTTCCTTCAGATTTTCTGACCAGTCTTTTGCATGCATGCTATATGCCTTGCCCACACTTGACCAGTCTTTTGCATGCATTTCTTAAATCTACCATGCATGCTATAAGCCTTGCCCACATCTCCCTGGACTTGATCTTCCTCACATTTAGTAAAGAGTAACTATGAAGTTCCTCATTATGCAGTTTTCTCCAATCTCCTGTCACTTCTGACATGCTAAGATCTGAACATTGCGCTCAGTACCTTGTGAAACCCAATTTATATCTCAGCCAGGGGCAGGCCATTTTCTCTTACAACATTCCTGAGTCTTTCCAAGGAAAAGTCACAAACATTTCCAAGAGACATAACAAATGCAGTTAAGTCAACTTTAAATTTATTAATATATCATCTTCCTTCCATGCCTTTTCCCTGCTTACAATATTTAATCATAAAAATGCAATTAACATAATTAAATAACATACAAAACAAGAGATCCAAAGGTACAAATTATCAGTCCAATACATAAAATCTACAAGATTAAATTGATTACATCATGACAGCTTTCTTTCTTGTCTTGCTGAAAATGACATACAGTATCAAAGCAATTAAAAAAGCAGACTAATGCTAGTCTTAAATTAAGACAAGATGCCTTGCATATCTGAAATTTGGCAAGTTGCTGTCAAGCTGCATTAGAGATGTTCATAAAATTGAAATAACGTAAAAAGAGAAGAATTGCAACCAACAAATTATTTGTTTAAATTATAAATTCAAATGTGATTCTTTTGCCAAATAAGCCAAAGCTGGGTTGTGGTTTAAAAACATGAAATATGAATGTATATCTAGTGGATGATTTCTGGTAAAAATATAAAGTGAGTTTGAAAATAATTTTATTTGCATAAACTGTCATTCATACAACTAACAATCCTCCTTATAAAATAATGTCCGGGGTGTAATATTTTGGCTGACTTTCTCTTTAAGTTTGTAGACTTATGCACATAATAGGTCTACATAGTTTGCATTGAAAAAAAACTAGCCAGAAAACTTTTTATTCAGATTTTATCATTGCAAGTAATGGCTCTTGTTGATCGGGTAATTCAAAGACTATTATGTATATAAGCAAGATATTCTGGACTATAAGTTGCACATCTGTTCCAATATAAGTAGAACACTGTAGTAAACTTTTGACAAAGTTTATAAAATAATTATGTGTGAGGTATAAATGTTACAGACAGCAGGAAAGTGACTTGCTTCAGATAAGATTGCATATTATAGCATTAATTTTGTATGATAGAATTTTAACACATATGCAACAAATGAACAACATGAAAGACACGTCAGCTAATATAAACTCAATTAATTATAATTTTTACATATTTCCCCAAATTCTTGTCCTTTGTCATTAATGTCTGTAGTCAGGCTAGTCAACATAATAAGAGATTTGTTCTGGACACAAACGTCTTCGGAATTTAATTAAGCTTCATAACAGCATATGAATTACAATCAAAATAATATACTTCTAGGTATAAGAAAATAATGTACTTATTTTCAATCTAATACCATACATTTGAGATAAAGGGCAAGAACGTTTATTATTGTGAATTGGCAACAGGACTATGATTTTGAGAGGGACTACAATTTTTGGTGCAGAAAGAAGTTTTCCGGACTTCTGACACTATGTAGCGTTTTAATAGTGATACCTATATTAAGATATATAATTTTTTTAAGTAAAAGAAGACTCCATGTACAAGGGAAGGTAACGAAAAGGTAACTGTTTTATGATCAAGTCTCGCAATTTGATCAGAGAAATTAGTAGTTGGCAAGCAATTACACACCCGCCATTTGCAAGAAATTTTGTGTTATACCCGACAGATTTGAAAGGTTTATTTGTTTCAAAACTGACAGTGAAACATGGATTTTAATTTTTAATTTTATTGTCATAGCTTTGGAATGTTATAACACATCCTTAAAATATACGTCAGTGCTCACTTGACCGAGATTTCAGCTATTTCGTACAATGCCTGCAAGTGATATCCTAGGTTGGCTGGGTAAACATGACATCTCCAGTAGTCCCTTGTTCAGTTCAAGACGTCAGTATAACAAACAGAATTCGTAGCTTGTTGATAATGTAACAGTGTTTTAATGGTAAGGAATTATTGTAGAACATTTGTTATCCTCCTTTAAAAGGTTAAAGTATTTTTCACATACAGATTTGGAAAGAAGCCATTGTATATCATGGTGGTACAGGTATAAAATATTTTATAGTGTGATTTACGAAAAATGATTTCAGTATGGATTCTTCTTGTCATGGCGAAAGCAGTAGTTTGGCGCATCATTCCATGGAAATGTCAATATTTGGCAATCCACTTCAGGAACCAGAACCATTGGGCTCAGTCACACATAACCAGGAAGTTATTGGTTCAAGTACCAGTCTGCAAATACGATCAAGTGCAAGAGTGTCTAAGAAAATGCGACTTGACTCTACTGCAACACCGGTAACCTCAGTAGTTGCAGATAAGAAAGGTGTCTTGTTCATTCCTCTTCATAATACTACAGTATAAAGCTGTTGACAGGTTGAGGTTATGTGAAAGTATTACATTTTCAGCCATTAATTAGTTCTTTATCATACACTTTTTGGTAGTTGATTTCAGCAAGAAATATACGGGAACTGGCATGTGTTGCATCTGTATGGGTTTATAATATTTTGGAACTGGGAATATCAATATAAAACTTCTGAAATCCAGTACGTTGTTAGAAAAATATTGAAGCTTTACTGAGTCTTTGGATTTTATTTAGTTTATTAGCATAGGATGTGTATTGTATAATATTTGTCTCTGCCCTTTGTCATACTGTAATTGAATTATTTTAGTTTCATATTTTGTTTCTATCAGTGCCACTGCTGTATCTGTATGAAGTTAAGTAATGTTGATATGAATTGCATATGAATTGTGAGTGATGATTTATATTAACTGGCTTTTACAATTGGTAGGCTATGTATATGTCCCTATTTTGCTTTTATTTATAGCTACTTGACCTCACACAAACTGTTTAGGTATTTATATCAGAGCGAGTGATTAAACGTGCTACTGGCATCAAATTTCATGTCATAATTTGTATAATTCTAATTATGTTCGAAAAACAGGTACTTAGCATGTATGTATATAATTGTCTAGGTATTGCTATGAAGTCCTGTAAGTTAAATGAAAAGTGTTGCATGCCCTTTTTTATTTTCACATGCAGAACTAACAAAGGTTGATGATAAACCAGACAAGCCTGAAAAACCTGAGAAACCTGAAAGACATGAGAAGGTTGATCTCAAGCAGAATGATACAAAGCCAAAGAAACGGACTTGGGAACTGTGGTCACAGGAAGATAAGAATACATTCTTTGAAGCTCTCAATGAATATGGTAAAGATTTTGATTCAATTCAAAATCATTTTGCAACTAAGGCAAAGAAGAAAGGGCTAGGTGAGCACTTAATAAAGAACAAGGACCAAGTTCGACACTTTTATTACCGGACATGGCACAAGATCTCTAAGCATCTCATATTCTCTGATAGTAAGTTATCTTCTTTAATATTGTAATAACACGAGTTTGCATTCTTGTCTAATTTGAAAACTGTTCCCAAAAAATTTATTTCATTCCCATTTTTCCTTTGCTTTGACAAATTTATCAGTTGCTTTCTCCAGACAATACACTGTTCAGATTTAATTCCAGATCTTTGCATTGGATGCCAAGTAATGATGACACAAATATGCACAGTTACAAGTTTGAACAGCGTGTGTTGTGCATTAATACTTGCAGTAAATTTGTGTAGTCTTTATCGTAAACACCAGTAACAAGTAACATCCTCATAGATTATGGTTATTACTAAAGTAAACCTTGTAGTGTCTTCAAAGTAAATTTCCCAACAAGCCAACAGAAGAAGAATATACAAAAAAAAATTATCCTGTATGTTTTTATAGTTTGGTGCTTGATAAGCTCCGGAGACAACTGTATCTCTTACCTTTATTACAAATATATAGTCAACATTTTCCTGACAGAGGTGCAAAATTTTAATGTAATAATGTGTTTCTGTCATAATATGTGAATACATTCTTAGCATTATTGATTCACTGGTCATCTCTTGTTTGATGTGTAGATTTGAAAAATGCCGCAAAAGAGCTGTATGGTCTTGTCAACTATGGCGAGATTCGCAGGAAGATTGGTTTTTGTACAGAGAAGATCATGTGCATGAAACTCAATGAGCTGGTGTATAAGGGCACAATACAGATTCGTATAAAAGGAAAAACTCTTCGTATTAAAACTCCACTTTGCCGGGCACTTCGCAAGCTGAACAGGCTACAAGGTATATACATTGTTGGTTTTGTAGTAACTGAAATGCACTTAATTTTCTGAAATAATATTGTCAGTTGTGCATGTTGTAGAATTTGAGATTCTCATGCAGTGAGTACGAAAATGGCTGTCTTCTAGGTTATAGTGCCATGTATTCTGCTAGAAGTAGATGAGCACTCGTTTCCCTGATGTTTGAGGCAGCAGGGACCTCTGAAATGCTGGTAAACTTGTACCAGAGTACATGGTGCTACAACCCAGAAGACAGCCGACTTCATAATTCACCAGCACGTTTGTATCATTCTCTGTCACTACTGATAGTCCTGTAATTGCTGTTATCGGTGAATGAACATTGAATGCTAACTCTGCCCACAAAATCTTTAGATATCTCATACTACATAATTTTTTAATGTTTCATTCACTACCTGTATTTTATTTATTTCAAAGCGTGTTCTCACAAATACTTGATTTTTTAATTTTCATACTGTAAAATTTATTGCATCGTTTTTTTATTATTATTATTATTATAGAATGTCAAGAGGATCTTAAGCTTCCTGCACGCGTGACGATAGAGCTTCGTCCACGATACAATGAGGCTTGGAGCAGAGTCCAAGCTATGTCCCACAATCCTCGAATACGAACAATTCTTCCTTTACAAAGACGGCTCACTTCATTTCTTGCGTACCTGAACTACCGCTGGCGTCCATTGCACATGAAGCATGTATCCTTAAGACAAAATGTTGGAAATTTAGTATACGGCATTGAATTAATCAGCAAAGAACTGTTACAGTATCTTCTTTTTGGTTCCTGTTTTATTGTGTGCTGATCCAGTGGCTGCCATACATTCAGACCATCGATGGCTATCCATTCAAAACTGTTAACTCATCACTACCTAAATAAATTTTTCTTCTACCATGGATTTATATATGTACATAAGCATATATTTAATTAAAATAAATGTACCTTTACTGATACAGGTAACTACATATGTTACTGTTTTGTTTATTCATCTTTTAGAGTGGTTAATTCTAGTGCCTACTCAACATTTTAGTATGTTTAAGCACAGAAAATTACATTTTATTTTAGTATTCACTGCTGTGTTAGGTATAGCAGAGGCTTGATGATACATTCTTGCCACATATGAGTATTCAGAAAGGCCACTCTGACAGAACTTCACATCAGCTATTATTAGAATTTCCCACAAAGGAGGAATAAGTTTTAGATGTAATTTTAAAATGACTTGGTTTATGAATTGTTTTATTTAGCAAAAGGGAGTGTGGAACTGAGATGTATTTGTATTAGACCTTGACATTATCTCGCAGCGTGATAAATTATTGTCAGCCATTGGCAGCAGTGATCTCATCTCACATGACTCAGAAGACAAGAAAAAGGAGAAAGAGCCTTTGCTCCGTGTGGCACCATGTGCAGGAGTTCAAATATGTCTGCCCACTGTGAACCTGACCGAGTACCTGACCAGTTCAAGTCTATGCCTTAGCTCGTATGAAGAGCGCTTTCAGAAGTGGCAAGCAGACGCTACCTCAGCACCTTTCATGACAGGGAAGGGGGGTGGGAAGGGATGCACATCACGGAAAGGGGGGAAACGGCAGCGGGTTGACAGTTCGAGCGAAAAGAAGCTAACACCTGCCGATGTGTCTGCCATATCGGCATCATCAGTTATGAAACAGAAAGAGAATGTGTGTTCTGAGAGTGAATTTGTCAGTTGTGGTATCTTAGACAATGCTTGTGACAATAATCCTGTGTTCAGCAGTTCTGCAGCCTGCCATGACGGAGGCAGGGATCACATGATCTCTGGAGCTGATGGTGATTTTAACAATATGGCTGTGAATCATATACTCTGTCAGCAGCAGCTCACAGGTACCATTATATCTGTTACAAACTGGAGGCAAGTTTTATCATTATTAAGTCTTGTATGATATAAAATTTATGTGATTTGAGGTTCTGACAACAGTGAAGGTGTTGATGTTGATCTTCTGGGTTGTAATACTATGTGGACTTATAGGTAGATACCAGCATTTTGGAGAAACATACTGCCTCCATGTTGCAGAAAACCTAGGCATAGATGGTAGGATAGAATTAAAATGGATCTTTAAAGAAACAGGGTTTAGTGATGTGAACTTGATTCATATGGCTGGAGAGAGGGCTCTTGTGAATGGCAATGAATCTTCGAGCATCATAAAAAAGAGTAGTTTAGTCAAGGAGGGTGCAATGATTCGGATATGTAACTCGGTGCAAGTCATTGGAAATTTGTACAGAATTTTTATAAGGAGACCTTTTGGTAGGCAGCCACTTGAAACACTGATAAGAAGCTCAGAGGTTGGTTTTTAGCTTGATTTTTGTCAAGTAGTTCAGATAAGCTATGAACAGCATTTGATTGACTCATGGTGGGTTCAAATTTCAGGTTTTGTTGTTTTTGTTTTTATCTTGCAGAGTAACTTAGTTGCATTATGTGTGATAGTTTATTTCTGAGAAATATTTGTTTTCAGTTAGGACAATTTCTGTGGATATTATATGCAAGAATATTTCCTTTCTTATTTCATTTATAGAACCAACTTACTGTTATTATAGGAGAATCATGAAGTCGCAGATAGCTTCACGTATAACCGCGTGTAAGTTTTTCTGAAAGTGGTGTAATTTTATATAACCTACTACTAGTAAACATGATGATTTTTGTGTTTGAAACTTGGAATGTGGAGTATGCACTGCAGGTGTACTGTTTCAGGAGATGGTATTGGATGTTTGAACTTGAGTGCTGTGCCTCCTGCAGATGCAGAAACGCCTCTACTTCAGGAGGTGGTAAATAATAAGATTGAGCCAAGCATTGGCCCAGAGCCCAAGATTGATGACAATGAAGAAGTTTTCAGCA